CCTTTCAAGTGTGATTTTTTTTCTTTATTGTGTATAAAATTTTTATTTTTATATGAAATGAATAAATGAATAAAAAAAATCAGTCTCAAAACCAGATCAAAAAGACTTTCTGACTGGATACAAGGTTTTAAAACTTGGTTAAATGGACAGATTTTGCAGTGTGTATTCCACCTTTTCCCAGCGTTGACAGGCGTTGCGGTCAGACCGCGGCGCTGATGATGGTTAAGACGTCCACACTTCCTGGACGCTGAGTAAAAGCTCCTTACAGGCCTGAGCTGTGAGGGTCTCTGACAGCAGGCCGACACAAACCGCCACCAGGGACAGACGTCTGCTGCAGTTCAGGATCACTGGAACACAAACAGGAAGGTTAGAAACATTTAAAAACAAACGGTGTGCGTAACAACACTGTCACACATAAAAACGATCCTCTGGGGGTGAAAGCAGGCGACAGGAAGCTCCTCCCACCTCTGATGGCCTGGGAGTTGGAGGTGAGCACAAACAGCCTGATGAGGCTCAGGCAGAGCGGGGCGTCGTCGTGCTCCCAGATCACCACGGGGATGAGGAGCACCTTCCCGTAGCAGGACAGCAGCAGGGCTCGGAGGAGCAGGCCCAACTCAACGGTGCCACCCCGCAGACGACACACCCACAACCAGAGGAAACACAGGGCGCCGCTGCAGAACGCCAGCAGCTCTGCAATGATCAATAAAAACAAATTAACAATATGTAGCCCAAAAAAAAACACCTCTAACCTACTCTTTGGAAGAGTAAGTATTGTTCATAAATGTAGCTGCAACTAACATTTTTTAATTTATCTCTGAGATCAATAAAGGTAGGTGGTTTGTTAAGTGGTTATGTAGGTAGGAAGATAAAAAGATAAAATCTAGTATTCTGAAGAAATATGGAGAAGCACAAGTGAATTCATGCTAAATGTTGTTTTGAGTTGGTGTTTTAAATTTAGCTTTGTTTTTAGTGTGTTTTCAGTTGTTTTGAGTTTTGTTGTTATCAGTGTGCAGTCATCTCCACTTTGCCATGCCTCTCCTCCTGCATACTTTGCCCTACAGCTGCCATTKTAATTTATATCTGTAAAGYTCCTGTGCCRAAKGCTATGCCTTTTGGTGCCTTCACAACTTATAGTTGATGTTTTACTTTAATATTGTCCTAATATTGCTGTAATATATTGTATTGTAGTTTAGTGTCAACAATTGCATTGGCAATGTGGCCTCTTTCTGCACACATACAAACAAACTCCTGGCAGTGCCCTCTGCCACAGCTCCCTCCAGTGGTCTCATGGTTAGTGCCATGGACTTTCATGTGGGAGATCAGGGTTCAAAACTCAGATACAGCAACTTTAAAGGGCCAATATTATGTGTTTCTCAGGCATATATTTAAATACTATACCATAATAAAGTATCTATGTCACCTTTGGCTGTTATTAAAAATTCTGCAAGCGGGGGCTCGTGCTATGATGCAGTTTACTTGGCATCTGAAAATACATTTCCTCAAAGGTACCGTTTTTTTCGGACTATAAGCCGCGACTTTTTTCCTGAACTTTGAACCATGCAGCTTATAGTCCGGTGCGGCTTATACATGTATTTTTTTCTTCAGCCATCAGGGGGCTCTTATGCTCCATTTGCTTCAACCACTCGCTTCAAAAAAAGAAAGGAAAAAAAAGAAAAAAGCGATCGCTTCCAGAGTCGACTGTTGTACCAGGAAGCAGCGATTTAAAGATAGTCAACGGCCAAAAACTCATAAAAGGGGATAAAACAGACATTTTTCACAGTGGAATCTGACTGTTAAAAACTTTGGAGC